GATGCTAGAGTACAGATAGGTGGAAATGTGTATCTTCAATCTAAGTAGATCATTTTTGTCAATAGTTATGACGACTGTTAGTATAATAATCATATCAATTATCAGGAATTATTATCTACCAGATTCTGCGGTAAAGTCCTGATGGACATGATCTTATTTGAAAACTCAGAGAAATATAATATGCTAAAGAAAACTATTATGTTCATTTAAGATTTTATTTTTAGTTATGTATGTGTGTATGGGGGGGGGGTGTTCTGAACATGGTTGCAGAGCCCAAGGAAGCCAGAAGACAGCTGGACATGAGTGGAATATCTGAACTCAGGCCCTCCAGAATAGCAGCACTCCCCAGAACAGCAGCACCCACCCCTAAGCACTGAGCCATCCCTCCAGCTTCTATTATCTTGATTTTATTAAAAATTAAAACATAATGAATATATAAGAATGTTTGATTTACCCACATTAAATTTTTACATTAGAAAAAACAAAAAGATGATGATCTCTTCTCTTTAGAAAAAAAATCATTGGTAAATGTTAAAAGAATGTCTAAAGTAGAAAGGCAACATTGTTCAACTGGTTCAGCTGATATCCTCTGTACTGGTGACTTTTATGTCAACTTTAAACAAGCTGGAGTCATCAGAGAGGAGGGGGCCTAAATTAAGAAAACACCTCCAAAAGATCTGCTGTAGGTAATTTTCTTAATTAGTGATCAATGGGGGAGTGGTCCAGCCCATTGAGGCTGGCACCACCTCAGCCTGGTGGTCCTGGGTTCTATAAGAAAGCAGGCTGAGCACACACAAGAGGAGGAGGAGGAGGCTACTCCTCCATGGCCTCTGCATCAGCTCCTGCCTGAGTTCCTGCCTTCACTGCTTTTGATAATGAACAGTTATATGGAACTGTGAGTGAAATAAACCCTTTCCTCCTCAAGCTACTTTTGGTCATGGTGTTTCATCTCAGCAATAGTAACCCTAACTAAGACAACCATCTTTTGGCATAAAGATTTACAAGGGCAATGGAGAAACTGCTCAGTGGTTAAGAGCACTTGCTACAATTTCACAGGATCAGAGTTTAGTTACTAGTATCCACACCAGGCAGTTCATAATTGCTTGTTGCTCTGGGTCCAGGGGATCCAGACACCCCTTTTGGCTTGCAGGTACACAGTCACATGCACATACCCACAGAGCCACACACACAAATAAAATCAGTCATAAAATTATAAAAATATGCAGGTAGATATCATTAGATAAAAGGCTGATGGAAAACTGGGTGTTTACAGGGTGCCAAGCACAGTCTTTCTTCTTCACTCAGTTAAAGAGGAAAAGCTGCAACTTTCAATAAAAAATATCAGACTAGTGCCACTTGAATCTATAACTCAACCTCATGCCCCCACTAGGACAATCAGAAATTAAGTGACTCCTCATGTGTGATGGAACACATTGTAAAACACGTCCCCTATAAAACACTATTGCTCAAAAATAATCAAAATTAATATAATCAAATCTTGATGTTCTCACATTGATAGGAAATACAACCAAATGAAGTAACAGTTGAAGGAAGCAAATGCCAACACTGTTTAGGACACTGGCTCAGTTTGCCGAAAAGTCAGAGACACATGAGAAAAACAAACAAAGACATTCTTCAGGACTGAAGCTATAATAGCATAACAACCAATTTAATTTCACAATCCTAATAAATAAAGACTTGGGGCTGGGATGTAGCTTAGTGGCAGAAGTCTTACCTAGCCACTAAGGTTCTGGGTTCAATCCCCAATGCCACAGAAACTAGGGGTGGTGGTACACAAATGTAATCTGGCACTCATGAAGTGAAAGCAGAGGATCATGAGTTCAAGGTCATAATCGAAGATTACATAAAGCCAGCCTGGATTATATGGCACCCTGCCTACAAAACAAGAAGGGGCATAGGAAAGAGAGGCTGAACATGACTGATCTCAAAAGGTAATTCACAAAGTTAAAACATTAAAACCTCACACAGCTAGTGTACTTAACTAGTCAGAGGTTTAAATGTTAATGTTTGAAGCACAAGGTAACAAACAGTACTATTTACCTTAACCATGGGGACTACATTCTAAGACCTCAGTGGATTTCTACAACCATAAATAGTACTAAGCTTTATGCAGACTAGACTATGTGTAGACGTATCTAATAACGTTTAGTTTGCAAGTGGGTACCGTTAAAGATTAACAATAACTACAACAAATATACCATGATGGGTGGATGTTGCTTCCAGCAGAATACCCTGAACAAAGAGATAATTCACATTCCTGGAAGGACAGAGCAGGGTCTTGAAAAGATTCCATCATAGTACTCAGAACTGAGAGCAACTTAAACCTAAGGGGTTACTCATCTCTGTAATTTCCCACTTAACAATTTCAAATCATAATACAGAATGAATAACTGAAACCACCCAAAATAAAAACACAATCAAATATTCAAGTTCTTAAGTCTTAAAAGCAGAAGCTCTTACACTGCTGCTACAGAGTGCCACAGAGGAGCTGAAAACTCTAGAAAATTCTAGAGCACCAGAATACTCCATAAATTAGAAAGCACAATCCACAGGCTGGTGGGAGTCTCTAACACCCATTTATGGGGTCTGCAAGGAAAAATGTCAGTTCCATAATCCTACAAGCATTAGTTACCAAATTCTTTGCTGCCATGTATTCACAGAAAAAGAATGTATTTCGTTTACAAACATCATCAAAAAACAGTGAAAAAAACTATTAATCTTGAACCTTTTATACACATAGATTTAAATATTTTATGCAATAAAATGAGAAATATATAAGCCACTAACCTGTAGTACATTTTTTAATACAGAGCTCAAGGCAGACCAATGAGTTCTTTTTAATTCTTTATTAATTATACTTTATTCACTTTGTATCCCCCCTGTGGTTCCCTCCCTCCTCCCATCCCAATCCCTCCCTTCCTCCATCCTCTGCATGCATGCCCCTCCCCAAGTCCACTGATAGGGGAGGTCTTCTTTTCCTTCCTTCTGATCCTAGTCAATTAGGTCTCATCAGGCATTGTCTTCTTCTGTGGCCTGGTAATGCTGTTTCCCCCTCAGGGGGAGGTAATCAAAGAGCAGGCCAATCAGTTCATGTCAGAGACCGTCCCTGTTCCTATTACAATGGAACCCACTTGGATACTGAACTGCCATGGGTTTTAAAGCAGAAAGTTTGCAAATGTACTTTTCAATTGCATTTTGCAGCTGATGTTTAAGAGTACTATCCATCAAATTTTGCTGTGTGTATATACATACTTTTATTTTTATTAATTACAGTTTATTCACTTTGTATCCCAACTGTAGTCCCCTCCCTTCCAATTCCACCCTCTCTCCCTCTTCTCCACCATGCCCCTCCCCCAGTCCACTGATAGGGGAGGTCCTCCTCCCCTTCCATCTGATCCTGGTCTATCAGGTCTCATCAAAAGTGGTTGCATTGTCTTCCTCTGTGGCCTGGTAAAGCTGCACCCCCTTAAGTGGGAGGTAATCAAAGATCAGGGCAATCAGTTCATGTCAGAGATAGTCCCTGTTCCCATTACTAGGGAACGCACTTGGACACTGAGCTGCCATGGGCTACATCTGTGCAGGGGTTCTAGGTTATCTCCATGAATGGTCCTTGGTTGGAGTATTAGTCTCAGAAAACACCCGTGTCCAGATTTTTTGGTTCTGTTGCTCTCTTGTGGAGCTCTTGTCCCCCCCAGGTCTTTCTATCTCCCCCTTCTTTCATAAGATTCCCTGTACTCTGCCCAAAGTTTGGCTGTGAGTCTCAGCATCTTCTTTGATATCCTGCAGGGTAGAGTCTTTCAGAGGCCCTCTGTGGTAGGCTCCTGTCCTGTTCTTGTTTTCTCCCTCTTCTGATGTCCATTCCTCTTTGCATTTCTGAATGAGGATTGAAAATCTTACCCATAGTCCTCCTTCTTGATTAGCTTCTTTAAGTGTACAGATTTTAGTATGTTTATCATATATTATATGTCTACTATCCACTTATAAATGAGTATATACCATATGTGTTTTTCTGCTTCTGGGATACCTCATTCAGTGTGTATATTTTTGTATCCAGATTTTATTCATATACTTCAAATCAGCACAGTACAGCATATTGACTATAAAGAAGCAGAAACAAAAAGTCTTTTTCTTAAGCTAGGCAAAATACCAAAAGTATAGAGGGGGGGAGCATCATCTATAATAAAAATGTTATTCATGCTCCAGAAATTTCAAATATTCAAATAAGGAAATTAGTATACAAACCATATCTGCAACCCAATATTTACTGAAGTCACAGTAGCCATTATATGGAAATCAACATTTATGCTCATGAATAGATAAATGTGTGTGATGTCCAGTCACAGAAAACTAAGTCCTATTACTTGTAGCAACTTGAAGAGAACTATAAGACATGATTAGATAAAGCAAGCAGGCACAGAAATTACCCACCCAGAGGTATGGAAGGTAAAAGAATGAAGAACGTAGCCAGGCATGGTGGCACACACATGTAATCCTAGCACTCCAGAGGCAGAGGCAGGTAGATCTCTGTGAGTTTGAGGCCAGTCTGTTCTACACAGTGAGTCCAGGGTACAGAGAGAAACCCTGTCTCAAAAAAAGAAAAGAAAAAAAAAAAAAGAGTCAATAATATATAAGCTAAAAGAACTAGTCTTGCAGAAGTGAGTGCAAAATAGTGACTATAAATTACTAGAAATGGAGAGGAATGGGATTGGGGAGGGAACAGAGAGAGAATGGTTAACACTCACAAGGTACAAGTGTGAAAAATTACTTCCCCCTTATTTTTGAAGACCCGTTAATTTATATTATAGTAAATATCAACAAAAAACATGTTGGTAAGTCTAACAGAAGTCAAAAACCGAGAAAGGAAAGTGTACTCATTCTAAGTCCGCTGCAAAGGCTCCAAGAAAATAGGCGACAACAACAGCAACTGTACAAAGCCATACACTGTGCACAGTGGCCCGGCACGTGTCAGTCTTTCTTACCTTGGCTGTGAGGACTTGAGGGAGTAAGAGAAGGCTGATGCAGATCTTTAGTTGGTGTTGGGTAAGCTTCTTTGCCTTGGCGCTGACTCATCTTTCCTGGGGTCAAAAGCTGAGGTTCGTCACTGTTTGTTACAACAGCTCAAAGAAAGAAAAGAAAAGAAATTACCATTAAAGTACTAGGCTTTATGGCATAATTAATATCTTGGGATAAAATTAAAATACCCTTTTAATTTTATTAATCTCACTACTTTAATAAGCTTGCATAATCATTTTGTTTTTATGTTCATTTACTCTAAGCCCACAAGAAATAGACAGATAAGTCTCAGTTAAGTATATACACTACAGACACTATAGATTTCAAACTGGAAAGGCCCCCTATGGTTTACTGTGTATCTGTCACAGGGTTCATATCAACTCTTCATTATCTGCCATCTCAGTCATCTCAGAGAAGAAATACATGGTCAAAAAGTATAAAGAAAAATGTACAGCTTCATTAATGATCAGAAAATACAAATCAATAGCAAGAGAAAAATATTAACTATCAGCTGCATTTCTACTCTGCTTTCTAAGTTTTTGGTGGCAAGTAGGCAAGGTTTCAGAGACAGTGAAACTTGAGGCTCAAGACAGCCCTCTCTGAGACTAAACAGCAGTATCAGAGGACAGAGTCAAGTTCATTGTGGGCTTCTATGTCTGTCTTCAAAAGCCTCCTTGGCAGGGCTGGAGAGATGTTCAGCACTTAGGAGCAACTGTTGCTCTCGTTGGGGACCCTTGATACATAAAAGTCTTTTCCACATGACCAAACCTTTGGCAGAGTACAGGGAATCATAAGAAAGAAGGGGAGTTAGTCTGATGAGGAAAGGATAGGAGCTCCACAAGGACCAAATATATCTGGGCACAGGGTCTTTTCTGAGACTGACATGCAACCAAGGACCATGTATGAATGTAACCTAGAACCTCTGCTGAGATGTAGCCTGTGGTAGGTCAGTAACCAATTGGTTTCCCATAGTGAGGGGAACAAGGACTGTTTCTAACAGGAACTCAATGACTGGCTCTTTGGCCTCCCCACCCCCCAAGGGAGGAGCAGTCCGGTTAGACCACAGAGGAGGGCTTTGAAGCCAGTCCTGAAGATACCTGATAAAATAGGATCAGATGAATGGGGAGGAGGTCCCCCCTATTAGTGGACTTGGCAAAGGGCACGGTGGAGATGAGGGAGGGAGGGAGGGACTGGGAGGGAATGAGGGATCGGGACATGGCTGGGATACAGAGTTAACAAAATGTAACTGATAAGAAAAAAATAAAATTCAAAAAAAAAGTATTTTTTTATTTTTTAATACCATGTTTTACAAAAACACAGGACTCCCCATCCTGACTTTCAGTTTGTGGAGAACTTGGCACTCTCACCCATCTGGCCAAGCTACCAAAAGGGTGAAAAGAGAAATAGAAAAGGAAAGCAATGAGAGAATGGGCAAATGAAAACCACAGGCCTAAAACCTCCACACTTTTTCACACCTGGCCCTGCAGGTAGTCATTCTTAAAATGAACGGTTTGGTCTTTACTTGTCAGCTACAACCTCTCACTGATAATTTTTATCACTGTGGTTTTTTTTAATCAATTGTTTTCACATATTTATTTCCTTTTTTGCTTAAGTTTTCAAAATTATATTTTAGCTCCTCATATTTCAAAACCAAAATACAAAGGACTCTCATTTAATATCCAAGAAAAAGTATAATAAAATATTTATCACAAATTTAAACAAAAAAAAACCTCTAAAAAAAATCTAGAGACCAGTAGCTCCTAAGTTTACATATTCAGTTTTAATATCTCCCCAGACTAGATCTCCCATATCCAACTGCCAGCCTGATGCTCCAGGCAGCGGGCATCTTGGGTGACCTGGAGCACAGCCCTGGCTCTGCTTCTGACCTACCTCTCCTCTACCTCAGCTAGCAGTCTCACTGATTTTCTACCCTCACTTTCCCAGGAAAACACGTCACTTTCTCTGATTTTCCTCTCCCTTCATAGCCAGGTATCCATGGAATCTTTAGACTCTCCTTCAAACTTCTATCTGGAAGAGCATTTTATATAGAATGTGATGGCTCCCCCCCCACACACACACTTCCACAACTCCTACCCTGGACCCACCCTACCACTATCTTTCTATCAGCCCAGTGTGTTGGTGGTTCATCAGCTAACCATGTTGCCCTTTGTTGTGTGGAGTTCATTTTTCATTATCATTTTAGGTAGAAAGTCAGATGCACATCAAACGAAAGTATTCTTAATAGTTTTCCATTTTATGCAGTGCTTGCTACCACAAGCCTATCATCCCAGCTATTGGGAAGGCTAAGGCAGGAAAAATTACAAGTTTTATGCTGGCCTAAGCTACAAAATGTTGAAGTTCAAGGCCTACCTTAGCAACTTAATGATATGGTTTCAGTCAGTCACCCACTATAGCTTGGATGTGGTGACAGTGCTAGCCTAATGCAGGGCCCTGGGTTTAATCCCTAGTAAAAGGAAGAATGGGAGAAAGAGGGGGAAAAGGACAGAGAAAGAAGAGTACAAGAGCAAGCTTGCTTTCTTTTCTCCTTACAATAAACTCACTGCCTCAAGAGCCAAAGGGTCTGGCACCTTTGTATCTTTTCATTTCATCCTCAACCATTCATTCAGCTCCTGCAATAAGGACCACCTTGCTGTTGTTGGAGCTACTATGTATTCAAGTGTTAACTGCTTGTTCCCCAGAGATGTTCCCCAAGATCTTTACTGTTCTACAAGCAAATGCTCGTATACACCAAGTGATGCTGTGTAACCTTGCCTTCCAAATTATCCCTGATTGACCAATAAAGTTGCCTAAACCAGGGCTGGGCAGAGGAGAGGGTAGGTAGAACTAAGGTTCTCAGGCTTGGAGGGCAGAAGGATCGGGGGGTGGGGAGAAGAGAAAGAGGTGAAGGAGGAAGGAGAAAGGAGTAGGTCATCATGGGTTAGCAGTAACCAGAAGAGGCCAGAAGGAGCTTGCTCTGAGGTCTGGCCTATGGAAAGCAGCAGCTCAAGTGAAACATGTGCAAGTACTTATAGGAGTTTGGCTGGGGAATAGATAAGATAGCTAAGAGAGTTAAGATCTGCCCAGCTCCTGTGTTTAAAGTTATTAAAAAAAATCTAACAGGTCTCTGTGCCTGTTATTTTATACAATAGTGGATTAACTAATAATCCACTATTATTAATAACTGCTGCATTAATAATCTCATGAATCAATATTAATTATATTAATAAGCATTCTATAACACCTCAATATTCCCCAAAACTGTCATCTTGCAATTTTCTGAGACTGTTTTATAAAGATCTTTCTTTTAAAATGTGTGTTGTATCTTCTATGTGTGTATGCCTATGGAGGACAGAAGAGCATGTCAGATTCCTCTAGCGCTAGAGTTACACGTGGTTGTGAGCCAGCCGGTGTGGCTACTAGGAACAGAACTCAGGTCCTCTGGAGGAACAACAAGCTTTCTTAACTGCTGAGCCACCTCTCCAGTCCCTTGAGGCCTGTTTCTTGCTCTTTTAATCTAAAATACTCTGGGCCCAGAGTTTTACTTACTGTTTTCTCTTGCTGTCTGCATTCAAATGCTATCTGTTTGGAAAAGCCCTTTGGATTCATCATGGTGCTTTCTCATGAACAAGTTCTTGGTTTTGATACAGCACAATTCATCAGCTTCTATGTGTTAGCGCCCACCCATCAAGTTACTGTCTATCATCATAACTTCCATGGTAGATTGCATCACTATCTAAAATATATAATGATTGTGTCTTCTCCTCCACTACACTCAAATTTCATGAGTGCAAGCTTTTGTTTGCCTCATTTCCCATCAATACTTAATACTGATTTGCTTCCAGTTATGCTAACAGTATGTGATAAAGTTTTCCTTAAAAGACTCAATCAAACAAACTTTATATTTTTATGAAGCATCATTATCATGAATATATATTTTGGCTCTTCCAGCTACTAAATCTGATTCATTTGATTATAATTTTAAAATACTGAGATTTATAATTAATATTAGGAATGCACAGAAACTAAGCCATTTAAATAACATTCCAGAAAAACAGTAACAGACGCTTCATATGTGTAATCCAGATACATAATGGAGGAAAGAAAATACAATAGGCCAGCCGATTAGGCCTACCACACAAACAAATTCCATTCCTTTCTCATAACACACAAGAGAAATGGTCCCATGAAAATTAAAATTAAAAAAGCAAATGACAATACAAAACTTGAAAACTTTTTAAATATAAGAGAATAACTCTATAAACTTGGAGAAAGGAATGATCTCCATACAAAAATGTAATAGCACTAATGAAAAGGGAATTGATAAATATTCCCACTACTATGTTAAAATTATGAATTCAGTCATCAAAACAAACCTAAAAAAAAAAAAACACAAAATGCTGAAGAGGAGAATATATTCACAGCCATACAGTTTGGTTTTAAAAGGCTGTATCTAAAGCATTTAAACTCTATGGCTCCTATACATCAACTAGAAAAGACCAGCACTCTCACAGAAAAAAATAAGAACTGAACAGAATTGCAACAGAAAATGCAAATGTCCAATAAGTATATGAAAATATTCTTTCTGCTTAATAATCAGAGGTTGAGGTCAGTTTCACAGTAGGTATTTTACATTCATCTGAAGTGAAAAATTACTAACTTTGATAATATCAAATAAGGAAGATGAGATTCTCGAGGTCTCTTGGGCACTGTTGAGAGCATAAATTGATATTAGCACTTTAGAAAACAATTTGGGACCAGCACATATTTGATGACTATAACAAAATCCTGCTCTTATCCCTAGAAAATCTCTTATACTTGTGTACTCAGAGACAAGAATAAAAATTTTTCATACAACACTGTATAGAAAACAAAAGAAAACAAAAATTCAAACAGCTTAAATACTCACCAATTAAAAAAATAACACAAAGTGTGATGGGGAGGAATGGAGAGATGGCATCTGAAGAGTACTAGGTGCTCTTCAGAGGACCTTAAGCTAGATCCCTCATGCCCACATGACAACTCACAACAATCTCTATCTTCGCACTAGGGGATCCAACACCCTCATCTGATCTCTGCTGGCACCAGACACACAAACATACATTCAGGCAAAGCATACACACACACACACACACACACAAAACAACAAAACAATAATGATTCTAAAATAAAAAATTCAAATCAGTTATCCAAGTGTGCAATGCATCATTTATCCCAGTACTTGGAGGGCAAAGGCAGAAAGACCTCTGTGAGTTCAAGAGCAGCCTACTCCCTACAGCACTAGCTACAAGGCAAGACTCTGCCTCATAAAAATAAAACAATAAAATGAGTTACTAAATTGCGGCACAAGCATAAGGTAGAAACTATATGGCATCTATCACTGGATCAAACAGCATGAGTCACAGAAATATAACATCAGCTACAAAAAGCAAGTTCTCAACATATCACATACATTATGATAGCATCCTTTAAAATATAGGGTTGGCAGGGCACTTGCCTAGCATGAGAGAGGTGCCCTGGTTTTAATCTTTAGTATAAGAAAAAAAAAATGTAAGAGATTAAAAACTAAGCAAAACTTAGGGATATAGGGACCTGAGAAACAACTCCATGGTAAAGGCACTTGCCACCCAACGTGATGAATCAAGTTCAGAACCCACATAACGGAATGGCAGAACTTACTCCCACAAACTGTCCTCTGTCCTCCAAAAGCATACTGTGACCACATGGGTGCTATAAAACACACAAACACACACACACACACACACACACACACACACACACACACACACACACACA